TATATACACTATACAAACTAATTTTAAATAGATGAAAATGGCAGAATGACAGATTTCATTAAGGAAAGTGATTTCTTCATTGATTAACTCAAAGGTAGAATAAATTATGTAGTGATGTACTTAGTATGTATAATGACTTTTTCTAGATTTTTTAAATCTTATATTAAGTCTTAATTTTAGATGATGCTATGATGATGTGATTATGCCACATTCTATTGAAAGGCACATATTTAAAGGTGACCTATTATACAAAAATCACTTTTATAAGGTGTTTGAACACAGCTGTGTGAAAACAACCAACCTATAAGGGTAAAAATCCACTCACTTATTTTTTTTATAATCCCAATAAATCATAAACAGTCTCTCCAAATGAACAGTTCAAGATTTCTCCCTACGTTCATGGCATGGTAGGGAAAAAGTCCCGCCCATTTGTGACGATCTCTGCCCTATTAGCATAGACACCACCCTGAGTGAGATGCAGCAGTCCGCCATTACTATTTTCTTGCTGTAGTTGCTGGAGATACAATGTCAGAGCCAAAGAGGCATTTATAAGTGTTGTGTTTTGGGATGAACCAATGACCATAGGAGTCGCCATAGATTCCCTCCATTTGAGCCGCTGAGGACACAGTGGTTACATTTCATTTTCGAAGGAAATGTCCCGGAAAAAAATGCTAAAGTCCTATATGTCTGTGCCAATCATTTAACGCCGGACATACTGTACATTATTGTTTCTCCTCTATGCCCCATGTCTGCATTTGTGATCAGAGAAATGACAAACTACAAGCGCTACTCTACACTGCTCAAAACTCGCGTTTGAATCATCAGTGGCAAATCCTTTAAATATAAAAAATTTACTTACAGTCTGTGAGTCGGCATTGTAGTCTACTCTACCAGGATCAGGAAACAGTCCTCCATAAAATGTGCTGCACACATCTGAATATTTGGGTTGAACTGTTCTGGAACAGTGTTGTAAATACAACTTAACCACTGATTTCTAGTCATGTCCTCTTTTGGAAGGCCAAACAAAGTAGTTTCGCTTTCACAACGAAACACAGCGTCACACATGGCGGGCTTGAGTGAGCGGTGGCGGGCCTGAGTGAGCGGCGGCCTAGAGTGAGGAACAGCCGGCGGGTTAGAGTGAGCGGAGGCCGGGCCTGGCAACGGCGCGGCTGGCAGGCTTGCGGCAACCACATGTGACGACCCCAGGCTGGACTCCGCTTCATACACAGTGAAAGCCGATCCGGCGATCCACAGCGCGAAGTTGATGTATTTCCTCAGCGACCAGCACGGATCAGCTCTATGCATGACGAAGCGGATATCGTCCTCTTTTGGAAGGCCACACAAAGTAGTTTTGCTTTCACAACGAAACACATGGCAACAACAATACTAGTGAGAATCAAATTTATGCCTTCTTTCTTTGCGTGAACATTTGGGCAGCATTATGCAAATCTTCCCACATCATGACGTAGACATGTGGGGGCATGTTAGAACGAGCCATTTTAGGTAGGCGTGGCTGACTCTTAACTTTTATAAAGAATATCTCTTTGGATTTGAGACTTTAGTCTTTGCAACTTTACAGATCTTCTTTATGCACCAAGAGCTTGTAACACTTCAAAGAGAAAGGAAAAATTGAAATCGCATCATATGACCCCTTTAATAAATGGTTTCCCATTGGTTTCCTGAATCAAAAGAGCCAACCTTCATGTTTGTGTGATGTTCCACTGATGAAATATGACTTATTTATGCTTCCATATGGTTGATACGGTGTGACTAAACAGTTACCTGGGTGACACTAATAGACAGGATGCTTGCAGTCAGGATGCAGTCAGGTCTCTGTGATGTACTAGTGCTGAGATATGGAGAGTTAATTTTATTCTATGGTTGCTAGGGCATGGCTGGATATTTTTCAGGCTACTTGCCACTCAAACATACCACCCCCTTGTCAAAAACATCCCACTCCCTTGTCTCTGTGATGTTCTGATCCTGAGATATTCTCTTACCCTTTTTCAATGGAAGTTCTTGCTAGTGTGCTGTAATTGGTTCCTAAGGCACAGCAAGGAAGTTGGTATGGCACTTTATACACTGCTTGTTTGAAAGAGTCAAATGTTGCCCACCCTCAAATCTCTATAACATTCTGATGCAGAGATGAGATCTCACAATTTTATTGTTAAATCTATGGGATTTTTTCAGCAGAATTTTCATCATGCACCTGATGATTTAAAAATGTCATAGCACACCTCTCCTCAATAAGCTGCCATGATTTGACACCTCATTCATGGGTCTATGTTGTGGGACAAGTTATGTGCTAAAGTTTTGTCCGAATATATAAAAAGATTTACAGGACAAAAACAATTTTGTGGAAAGAACTTCTGAATGACAACATGTGTTTCACCTGAATCAGCAAATGTCGAGCAAGAGTTTTTCAGTGTATTTTAAAGTCCTCCCGGGAGTATCCTAACTGATAAACACCTACCAAAATTATGAAAATTAATATGACCTGTCAATTATGATTTAAAAATAGCCTCTGTAAATTATAACAAAAGGCATGCTCCTCACAGAAAATGTCAATATAACATCATATTTACTTGAAATTTAACAAATACAATTTTTAAAATAAAATATAATAAAAAATAAAATATGAATGCCATTGAAATTATACAATAATAGATCAATATGCCCTGTAAATTATGAAAGCAAACAATTCCCAACACACTTTAACAAGATGATTAATACTAAATCACATAGGACTACCATCATCAAACAGTATTTGCCTTATGTGTCTTGTTGAACATTTAATCTCAAAAGGAAGGCAAATAAACCATGTATTCCTCTCTTTTATACTTTAACAGCTGGCATCCTTCTGGAAAGGCTTACCATTAGAGTAGATCAGTGGTTCTCAGACCTGTCCTGGAGTACCCCTTGCCCTGCACATTTTGTATGTCTCCCTCATCTATCACACCTGATTCAACTCATCAGCTCATTAGTGGAGACTGCAAGACCTGAAGTGGGTGTGTAAGATATAGGGAGACATACAAAACGTGCAGTGCTGGGGGTACTTCATGGAGAGGTTTGAGAACCGCTGGAGTAGATCATGGAAATTGGATATATACTCTCATTCGGACAAAAGAACTTCAGTGAGGTTTGTAGCAGTTGATCCTGAAGGTGCAATGGGGTTCAGGTTTATACTTGGCCATTGAAGATCTTCCACACCAGACTCAGAAAAACATATCTGTATGGACATTTCTTTAAGCAATTGTCATGCTGAAATAGAAATGACCCAAGCTGGAGAATGAAGAAGCATGGAGGACTTTGTCATCAGTAAACCCTCTCTCAACTCATTCAATTATATAGTGAATTCAGATTTTTTTTTGCCTCTCTACTAGGTCATGTTGCATTCCCCAATAATATATAATTAGAAATTAATTATATTCATTATTTTCAGATATGTAATGTTTTTCATGGAAAATTCCAGTCAGTATAAATAGGGGCTTAGATATCGATGATTGAATTTACACTGTCAGCCAATTCAGATATTTTTTTTCAGGTATGGCAGAGATCTGATCTATTTTGAGAGAAAAAGAAGAAGAAGAAGAAAACACGAGGTCATATTTTTGGCATTCAGTTTGAGCTACTTACAAATCTGTTTATCTGACTTGAATCTAAGCACTCATATCTGACTCTCATAGCTGTCCTTGCACTCAGCATCATGATGGAGGGAAGTCATTGTTTAAGCTCTGATTAAGTCACCCTTTGAATCAGTCTGTGGTGTAACGGTTCAGTATAAATTAGAGGGTGGTTACAAAGATTGTGCTGTTTAAGGCTTCACACTGTGGAACTAAAATATTTTCTCCTTTGCTGAATCTAATGTTGTGTTTTGATGTTTGTCACTTAATGTGGTCCTTAATTTGAAACAACACTGCCATCTGCTGAGAAATTATACAGTACCACGAACCAATTATTATTACTATTGTAATAACACAAAATAACAGCAGTTTAAGCACAAGATACTGAACATCTCTTTCAATATATTTTCAAGATGATCACCATTTAACAAATGGTTCACTTTATGATTTTTTTTTTTCATTTTCAACTGCACATGGTTTGTCAAATTGCTCCTTTTTGACCATTTGAAAATATACAAAATTGACTGTAAACCACAGTTTCTCTAATTTCATCCATGAATGTGTTGCAGCTCCAGAATTCACATTTGAAAAACAGTAAAACCTGACAGTAAATATTGCACTGCTAACACATTTTAGGTGAACTGCTTTGACTTTCTACAAATGACGTACTTAACTCAGAGTTTAAGTGTACCACCATTGCCTCTTGTTATAGAGAAATCTACAATAAAACACTTTTCATCCTGTCAGTTACTTTAGATTATTTTTTTAAAATATTCAATCTCTTTTGCCCCATCTATGATTATAAAGCACTTAATGATGGTGAACAGAGAATGAACCTACTATAACAACCTAGTCCTTGACAGGATGGAAAGTGCATTACATGAAATTCTATATACTTTTGGTAAACATATTGTTACACTGCCTCTTTTACATTTCCACAGAAAACAGCAAATAGCTGACCTCCCTTTGACCAATAACATAATCCATATCAATCCAGGAGCTATTTTAATCACACACATAATTACAGCACTCGTGGCAAATTTCTATACATATATTGTTTTTTTTTAATCTAAAATATTTTTTTCAGTTTCATCCACATTCATGCCTTTTCATTCTAAATCGCCTAACACAGTGACACAGTGAACACACATTCAAATAAAGACAAAAACTGTAACATACATTTTACATCAAGAGCTTCTCAAAACCTGATTTTGACATTTTAGCTAAAATAATTCATTTTTTTTACTTTTAAGTCAAGTTTATTTTCTGTAGAGTATAGACTGTTTTTAAATATTAGTTACCCATGAGTAATACTGCAACAAAAATAAATATTCATTAAATGTCATGGTTTGTCATAATACATTTTAAAGACCAGTACAAAATGGACCTACCCATGCACTCAAATAGTATGCAACAAACTGTTGTCTTATTTTTGTCACTGACTGGGGCAAAGCTGTGAATGGGATGTTGAGCACAGTTCAGTGAAAGCTTAACATCTACTACCCAACACATAGGACATTTGTAGGTAGAGCCAGTGTGTTTTTTTTTACTATCCATATGAATATGGAATTTCAGCATAAAGTTTCCAGTGACTGCAGCGTAGTTGCTAGTTCCATGTCCACAGGAAAATGTAGCAAGTCTTCATGTGGTGATCAATTTGGCAAAGTGATTTTCTGCCATTTTTTAGACCACTTTTTTCATTTATTTCAACAGATTTGGTCTGTTATTTGAAGTGAAAAGCTAAATTCTGCAAAATTCTTTTCTGAGTAACAGCGGAGTAAACTAAAGTCCTCTGAATTCAGAGACAATAACTTACTCTTATGATTCTTGCAAGCAAACATGCAAAATGGCTTCTTCATACTTTTCACAGGACACAGAAAGAAGAATTTGGAGTTTTTGACTTGTCTGATCTGATCTTTTTTTTCTTTCTTTTTTTTTTATAAAATAAAAAGTAAATAATTCTCAGACAATTTTTTTCTGAACTCTACCTTTGGTTGTTCTATCACAATGTTGGCATATTATTTGTATTTTATTATTTGTATTCTTTATTGTAAAATCCTGCCTCCTAATGAAGAAGGCCATAGGGACAACTTTTATCCCAGTCATTTACACTTACTACAGTACTTTAACCCTGACATATTCTTAATCTGCTTTATTTTTCAGCAAGATCTTCACCTAAAAAAACAGCATAATTTTCAAATCTTCACAAAGAAGAAAGAGTAAGAGCCCAACCACCAGAGTTATTAAACAAAAAAGAAAGTAATAATGTATGTAAAAAGAATAATCCACTCTGGAAAAATAAGTATAACCAAATCCTCTTTGGTGAGAAAATTCAGACACGTGGAGAAACCAAGATGGTTGCTAGGTGGTCACTCAAGGTTTCTGGGTGTTCAGCATGAATTTGGAGACAAAATGGACAATGGTTGAAGCAGGCTGGTCTGGTTCCAGCTCAGCAAACAGATGACTCACATTATCAGTTGTGCTTCCTTGTTTTCGAGCCACAAACCCAAAAAGTCTGCATTATAAACCAGAGTAAAGTCTTATTAGTTATTTTTTTCTGAGTGTTTAACAAAATTATTGACATTGATAATTGGTATACTCACTTTGCTACACCACCCTCTGCTTTATTCCACCTGTGAAAACAATGGGATATAAGGCTCATACTAAATTTAATGCAGAATTATATTTCTGAATGAATGAAATGTAGTACATGGACCATGCAGAAAAGCCAACTAAAATACAAAATACTCACTTTCTGTCTTGTGAGTCCAAATTACAGTAAGTGATCATGTTGACTGGGTAATGACGACGGAAAAAAATCCTACAAGGAAAATTAAGTTGTTATTCCAAGGTCACACAAGTTTGATTCAAGACGACACTTAACAGTTGTAAAATTAAAACATTAATCATATTAAATCCACTCACTTCCTCTGATTGTCAGTGAGTGTGATGCCCTGTGTCGACACTTTGAAGTGGACAATGGTTGCTGTAGGAGAGGATTTGGCAGCAAGTGTTTCAGTGATGGCTTTGGCCACAGCCTGTGGACCAGTCAGTGACTCCATATCCACAGAGTTTATGTACAAAACATTACATGCTAGGAGAAAGAGATAAAATAAGCTTGAAATAGAGATTGCATTTAGAAATTTGTTTGTCTCAAATAACACCAAAACAATACTATGTAAAAGGAATGACATGAAAAAAGGATGTCATAACTATAATTTGAGGTCAAAGATACTTTTATGGACTGGTTTCAGGTGCACATGGTGAGAGTAGTTGGTTTTCATAGGCAGAAGTTACTATAAAATTAGCATGCAAACAGTGACACAAATGCCAGCTAGGAGATGATGTGCCATATTTACCATAAAAATCTTCAGTAGGTTTAGGAGGTCCTGAAGTGGTAGAAAATTTGACAAGAAATTAGGAGACAAATGATATTTACAAAAAGCAATGAGGGAAATGAAAGAGAGACTCACCTGCTCCCTGCTTTAATAAATCGATAGTTGAACTTGTTGGTGTTGCTAGCTCCAAGGCCTCTTCATTTGGATCTGTTCACAAAAAGGTCAGACATGGAGACAAGTACAGGTCAGTCAATGATTAAAGAATACAAACAAAAATGCCATCTATTGACAAGAGGTCAATTACAGGGGCTACAGGAATTGGGTGATAATATAATTCTCACCTCTTGTAGGGATCATAAGCTTGCATGGAAGAGCCAGAGGTGTCATGGCGTGTTGATAAACGAGAGCAGAAAGACATCCTGTAAACGCATACACACACAAAGTACAAGTTATAGCACACAAACAAGCTGATGGGTGGAAGACTACAGACTACTATTCAAAAGGTACCAATTTAAGTCAGTACAATACACAGCAGACAGAAAATCATAAAAGCATCGCCACTGGAAATTCATTCTTACCAAAGTAGGGCTCGTTTGGGCAACCCTTAAGTCTCACGCCCTTGGCACTGGTTTCAATCAAGAAGTGTCGTACCAACTCATTTGTGATGTCTCCAACTTCAAGGTAAGAACAAAAGATAAATGAGGATGAAGTTCTATTCAGTGATGATTTGCGTGATGCATGCAGTTACCTTTCTTCTGCTGCACCATTGGAGGGGGAGAGGCTACTTTCATGGCCAAGCCATATGCTCCTCTGAATGAGTTACTGTCTCGAATGACAAATGCTCCTGGTTCACGATCTTTAAGAATACAGATGGCTAAAAAACATGAAAGAGTAAATGTATCACTAGTCATCCAAACATCCATACAAAGGCAAAACACAGCAACTACATTAATGTTCAAAATGTCTTGATATGGCCTGCCCTATGATAGACGGGTTTGGCTCCACTCTACACAGATTCAGAGAAAACCAAGAGTGAAAACTGGCATCAAATCGCTCACCTTGTTCCCTTGAGATTTCTGGTTTGTACCAAAATTTGGATGTATCTTGAACAAATTTGATATTGATTCTAATATCTGGAGGTCCATCGGCTGAAATAGAACAAATGGTTTGCTGAATAATTGATAAAATAATTACACACATCTATTTCATTTAGTGATTTGATTTTCAAGATTTCTAGCTGCAGTTCTTATCTTACCATATATTGAGGCAAGCGCAGCTCCTTGTGGTGGCACTTGTGTAGGAGTGGGAGCTTTCCTACTTTCAATGCCCTCTGTTGGAACACTTTTAGAATTCTCTGCGATGGATCCCGCTGTTACATCCAGGGGCAAGAACAGTGAGGGGCTACAGGATTGCTCTAGGTGAAATAAAGGGGAAGCAAGGCCAGGCTGAACCAAAGAATTGGTGCTTTGCCTGGACTCTGCCCCATGTCTCTCATCTGGAGTGGCCTGACCCCTAGGTGGGGCTTTGTGTTCTGGGCTAGAGGCAACTGGAGCAGGTGAGTGGTGGCGGTCTAGTACAGGGCTTGGTGGGATGAACTTGCCACTGCGACCCAAAAGAGGGCTGTTGGGAGTGGTTGGTTCACTGCCGCCATTGGCTGTTGGTAGACGTCGCCCAAAAGCAGGGCTACTTGGACCACCAAGCCTACGGTGAAGGGCAGGGCTTGGGGGTGTATTGGTGGCAACTGTACGGTGGAGTGTGTTGGGGCTTCCTGGGATGTGATGAACACCCACAATGTTAACTGTGGCCTCATCAGGGTTAAGGTAAGTAAAGGTGTCTGGGAAGAGAGGAGCCCGGACAGGCTCAGATGGAAATGATGCAAAGGCAGACTGCCTTCCAAAACTGTTAGAGAGCACAACAGATAAAATAGAGAAAGTGTAAGCATATACATTTACATTTAGTCATTTAGCAGACGCTTTTATCCAAAGCGACTTACAAATGAGGACAATAAAAGCAGTCAAAACTAACAAAAGAGCAACAATATATAAGTGCAAATGACAAGTCTCGGTTAGCCTAACACAGTACACGTAGCAAGGTGTATACAGTATAAAAGGAGTTATGGTTGATGAGCCTAACTGGATGGTGAAATTTTGATAAAGTGATGGGTCTGTTGAAACCACAAGCAGTTCTGTCTTAGCCAGGTTGAGTTGAAGGTGATAGTCTGTCATCCAACAAGAAATGTCTGTTAGACATGCTGAGATGCGAGCAGCTATCGTCGGATCATCAAGATGGAATGAGAGGTAGAGTTGAGTGTCATCAGCATAGCAGTGATATGAAAAGCCATGTTCTACATGTTCACATGAAGATATGTGACGCCATTCAGTCAGTCACGTTCTACGTTACGTCAGTGACTGACGAATTGGGATCTCGCCCGAGAGCCCAATCACCTTCGAGTGTACACTAACAAGCCAATGACAGTTGGCGTGCGTGTTTCGCCACGAGCACCCCGCCCCGCAGCGTGGGTATAAAAGGAGAGCGCGTGCAAACGCACATCAGCTTTTTGCTTCGGAGCCGAGCCTTCTCAGGACGAATCTCTGCGAGTGTTTGGAAGAAACAGCTGGCGTTGGTGTTACGGCGCGTCAGCGGGGGTTGCCATTCAGTGCTGCTCATCTTCGGCGTGCTGCAGCTGCCATTCTGCGATCTCGCCGCGACCTCCCCTGGGCACTTCAGCGCTCTCTCTAAAAGAGTGTTTCCTTTTTTCCTAAAAGAGCAAATGTCTAAAAGAGCTCCACGAGCGACGGGCGTGTTTTTAAAGATGGCTTCCCGCTCGTGCGTTTCTGGATGTGGTCGTTTCCTGCCTCCATCTGATGGTCATGATCGCTGCCTCTCGTGCGTGGGCTTACAGCATGCTGAAGCAGCGCTCATGGATGAGTCGTGTTCTCAGTAGGAGGGAACGGAGACGTTATGTTCCGTCGCCACAGTTGCTGTACCACCGGTGTACGGCCGGGGCACGTGGTCTCGGCTCCTCAGCAAAAAACTGCAAAAAACACGCACGCCAACTGTCATTGGCTTGTTTAGTTTACACTCGAAGGTGATTGGGCTCTCGGGCGAGATCCCAATTCGCCAGTCACTGACATAACGTCTCCGTTCCCTCCTTCAGGGAACGAGGGTTACACAAGTAACCTAGACGTTTCTGAATGACAGAACCTAGTGATGCCATGTAGACAGAGAAGAGAAGTGGTCCAAGTACTGAGCCCTGAGGCACCCCAGTAGCTAGATGTTGCGACTTGGACACCTCACCTCTCCAAGATACCTTGAAGGACCTATCTAAGAGGTAAGACTCAAACCACTGGCGTGCCATTCCTGAGATGCCATTTTCCAATAGGGTTGACTGGTTCACCATATCAAAAGAAGCAGACAGATCCAGGAAAATAAGTATTGAAGATTTGGAAGCCGCTCTTGCCATTCTTAGGGCTTCAACAACTGAAAGCATGGCAGTCTCGGTCGAATGTCCACTTTTGAAGCCAGATTGGTTGCTGTCCAGGAGGTTGTTCTGTGTGAGAATGGCTGAGACTTGGTTGAACACAACTCGTTCATGTGTTTTTGCAATGAAAGGTAGAAGGGAAACTGGTCTGTAGTTCTCTAAAAGAGTTGGGTTAAGAGTGGGTTTCTTAAGAAGTGGGGCTAGACGAGCCTGTTTAAATGTTGAAGGAAAAGCACCAGTGTGAAGGGATGTGTTAACCATGTGAGTGAGTGCAGGTACAATGGCAGGAGAAATGGCTTGAAGGAGATGAGATGGAATAGGATCAAGTGGACAAGTAGTAGGATGATTGGAAAGGATGAGTTTAGAGACTTCTGCCTCAGAGAGTGGAGAGAAGGATGAAAACGAGTGTATGTTTGCTGGTAAGATGTGTTTGACAGTTTGTGGTGTGGAAAATTGTGCACTGAGGTTTGTAATTTTATTAATGAAGAATGTGGCAAAGTCGTCAGCTGTTAGAGTTGATGAAGGAGGGGGAGGAGGAGGACAAAGGAGGGAGGAAAATGTTTTAAAATAGCATGCGAGAGTTAGGCGAATTGTTAATTTTGTTGTGCTTTTAGCAGTGGAGACATTAGCAGAGAATGAAGAGAGGAGTGATCAATATACATTAAGGTCAGTAGGATTTTGTGATTTGCGCCATACTCTTTCTGCAGCTCTGAGCTTAGAACGATACTCACAGAGAACATCAGATAGCCAAGGGGCAGAAGAGGGGGTACGAGCTGGCCTGGAAGACAAGGGGCAGACAGTGTCTAAACAAGATGTAAGAGTGGAGCAGAAAGTATCAGTAGCACTGTTAACATCAAGAGATGATAACTGTTCAGGGGAAGGAAGCAAAGATGAAACCATAGCAGATAGCCGGGAGGGTGAAAGAGAGCGAAGGTTACGTTGAAGAGTGATGTGTAGGGGTATGTGTTGTGTCAGGAACCATGTTGAGGTTAAGAGTGAGGAGGAAGTGATCCGAGGTGTGCAGAGGATTAACCAGCACATGATCAGTGGAGCAGTGTCGTGTGTAAATAAGGTCCAGTTGGTTGCCTGATTTGTGAGTAGCCGTAGTTGTGACTCTTGAGATCAAAAGAGGCAAGCAGAGTG